CAAGACCTATATCATTGGGGGTAGAGACCAAGACTTAGACCTTTAGAGGCAGAGACCAAGACAAGACCTATATCATTGGGGGTAGAGACCAAGACCTAGACCTTTAGAGGCAGAGACCAAGACAAAGACGTTTAGAGCCTGAGACCAAAACAAGTCTTAGACCTTTAGAGGCAGAGACCAAGACAAGACCTATATCATTGGGGGTAGAGACCAAGACCTAGACCTTTAGCGGCAGAGACCAAGACCTATGTCATTGGGGGTAGAGACCAAGACCTAGACCATTTAGAGGCAGAGACCAAGACAAGACCTACTGTATATCATTGGGGGTAGAGACCAAGACCTAGACCATTTAGAGGCAGAGACCAAGACAAGACCTACTGTATATCATTGGGGGTAGAGACCAAGACCTAGACCTTTAGAGGATGAGACCAAGACAAGACTTACATCATTGGGGGTAGAGACCTTGACAAGACCTAGATCTTTAAAAGCAGAGACAAAGAAAATACCAAGACATTTAGAGGCAGAGACCAAAACAAGACTTTATATGGTCTTGCATTTGGTCTGGGCCCCTAATGTTCTTGGCCTTGTCTCCGTACTCCTTGGTCTTGGTTGGTGTGGTTTTGACTACTAAACAAATGGTGATGGTTTGATTTTTTTCTCTTTCCAGTTCCTCATTCCAGTTCTAGTTACTGATTTTTCTTTAAAGGGAAAGTTTTAAAGAGAAGTTCACATTTTTTAAATAGGCTCACTAACCAGAACTCTGTCTGGATGAGATAGCCTGAATACTCAATGAATTTAAACTCTGAACAATTTACTTTTTCTAACTTAACAATGTACTATTGAGTCATTTCCAAACAGTATGTGGACCTCAAATCTTTAAACTTGAGTAAAAACTCTGAGATTTTCCTTTTTCCAGCATGGATGTCCAAGTAATTTTTATATTTAGCCTCTTTTGCATCTTCAGGTCTTTAAAGCAGCACTGTGAAAGGTTTTACTCAAGGTTAGTTTGAGATACGTAAAACATTTATTTCCAGTCAATGCACATTATTTTGTGTACCTAGCTGATCAGACATATTTATGGTTAATATCCATATATAAATATGTACGTATTTACACATTTGTGCAGTTTAAATTAATTTATGGTTCTACGTAACACATACATTAAATTAGTTGAGCAATTTATTTTTAATTACATATAAACTTCTAAATGACAGCAGAGACTAACTCTACCCCATAAAACATGCATTAACTCTATATACGTCCTAATTGACTGTATTATATTGTTGTGAAGAATCAACTGCTGTATTTTTATCACTTTTTGGTTAATATACTACTATAATTTAAATAGCTTTAAAAAATGTTGTGGGATTAAAAAAGGGGGGACATGATCCCAAAGGGGGGGAAGGGAACCGGTCAATAAAATGTGCACAGCTTAGCAATAGATAAAGGAAATTATATTAACTAGGAAACTGAAGGAGAAACAGCGAATCAACAGTGAATGAAATTGGGTAAGTTAACGTCCAGGAAGAAGGAGGACATCTACTGGGTTTAAATGTTGGTACTGTTTTGTGTGTAGAAGATTGTTAGAGATGTCAAGTCTTGCCTTACGTTGATTCTGATTGGTTTATACTGTAATGCGTGAAGCCTCAGATTTAGGCACCGGATTGGATTGATCTAGTGAGGCCGTGTGACTGCCCTCTTTTGTTGTGTTTGAGTGCATTTATTTCCCACAAGCCCCACTGTTTTTAGACCAAGCCTCTACTGAAACGAAAAACAAAGATGTTGCTTCAAATTTTGGGTGAAATCTGGCAAACTAGGATCTACAGACAAATCCACCAAATATGTAGTCAGCTAAGTTTTTTATAAATTATAAAACAAAATGAAGAAGATTATCACAATGAAAACATCTGTAACTAATAAAGGTGCCAAGCAAGCTTTAAAGCCTTTTTAAGGAGAAAATATGAAAAATAATTAATATTTCTTCATGTTTTGGTAGGGCATTATACTTGAACAAACTTGTTACTGAGGCAGTACCTGTTTAGATCCACAGGAGTAGTTGATAAACTAGTGCCAACTTTCTGCTCTCTCCCAGCCTTAAGATTTTGAATCACGCAGAGATCTAAGCCTACATGTATACAATATGTTAAAAGATTCATCATCTCAAAGCCAAACGCACCACTTCAGATTTTTTTTCTTACACTCAGCCCACAGACACTTCACAAACTCAAGTTCCACTGCCGCTCCACACTGACATTGTTCCAAGCCTGAAAAGCAACAGCTTAGATGTCGTCTGGCACGTCAGCGTCCCGGGCTCCGCCGAGACCCGAGGCTTCTGTTTGTGGGAAAGATGAATGCTGGCAGACGATCTGAATGACACCCAACTTGTAGAGACAGCGTCAGCCATCACTTCAGATCTAGGCCAGTCAGAGAGGTGGTGTGGCAGACGAGCAGAGAGATGTAGGGCACGTTTGGTTTCTGGGGATCATTGATAAGAACAAAGGCAGTGACATTCACAAACAGGGAAACACATTAAATCATGTCAGAGGCACTGTAAGGATATGAAAAAAATCAAATATGTTCTACAATTCATTTTTCCCAACTATGCTTGTATTAGCTATGGCTGCAATTAAAGGCGTAAATAAACACTCCCCATTAAACATCAGGTATTAAAAGTGGTTATCTGACTGAAAGTGAGTTTTTGCTCTGAAAAATAAAAAGTATGGTAGTACTGTATTTTAAAGGTCCTTCAAACTCAGAAATTAGACCAGTAAACTCAAAAGTTAGATTAGCAAACACAAAATTAAGACAAACACACTAAACACGTGAAAAGAAAAAAATAAAACAAGTAGCAAAATCAGTTAGAAAAGCTGCAAACTACCATAATAGAAATGCTCCACACCACTAGGGGGAGACAATCATCACTTCATATGGGACCAAAACATAGACATTGGCCATTTCTCAATATATGTACTTGTGCGTTCTCGTGTACTTGTGA